GTTCTAAAAGTATATAAGAAAAAATACAACAGCAATTATAATTCCCTACAATTATCACTGAAATGGAGCGGTGGCTTGGAAATTGAAACACATAACTTTCAACTATCAAGTTACAGATTTGAACACCGTTATGTATTACGTTAATTAAGACAATGTGGAGTGATGACTACATGAAAGTTCACTTGAACTATCACTCACTTAAGATCAGTATTCTATGAAACAAGAGACATGCGAACTACATGTCACTTCGTAACCCACATTACATAGATGTTAAACTGGCAAACCGCACTTATTCTGTATAAATATGAGCATTACTCAATTCATTAATATGAGATTCATTAGATGACATTTGTTTAAACTACCTATTTAGTTTATAGAAGTTAATTACTGAAAAAAGTGAACTACAATTGCAAATATAATAACTATGTATATATTTACTAACTTGTAATGGTCCAATAAATGTTATGACACCCCAACCAAGTTGTTTTGAGTCAGGTTTTACCAGAACCAACTGCTGACCACAACTAACTATAAAACGTTTTTCATGACTATAATATATATTAAGAAAGAAATATACACAAAGTTAAAGCACCTATTATTCATGAAAAAAGTCGAAAGAAAAGCACCAATCTCAATGTGATCATTCAAATAACAGTTTGTGCAGATTTTTGAATTTCATGTTAGTTTTAACAAGTTGATATCTGTTGGAGAGGTATTGATAACCTAAGAGTACCCAGCAATTCTTTTTTCCAAGTGAAAATACAAAAACATAACCATGAACGTGACAAAGTAGAAGAAAATTATCTCAGTTATATGTATACTACATATTAAAAATTCCCATCACTTTGCTTCGGCACTTAACATCACTTTTGTTTCGTTGAATGCCACAACCAATCAGGTATAGGTTATTAGATATTTCTTCTTGACATGCGCATTCAGTCAGCATCAACGTAGAACTTCGTACGTACGTACATTGGTTCAAGATGCCATACCACATTAGCACACAGATACAATTGTAGATTCAAATTCCGTAGTGGTAGAGGTAGTAAAAGTATAAGCAGTAATCGGAAGGATTAGGGTTTGAAGATGTTATTCAAGGAGCATAATACAGTGAACTAAATTTGGAAAGAGAAAAAAAGGGACATGAAGAATTCAGAAGATAAGAATTTGGGAGAATACAGAGTGGATGCACCTGCGCCATTGCAAACGATTTTGAACCACGTCATTCAGGGTCTCTAACCATCAACATGCGCATTAACCTTCAAGCTATTGAATTAAGTACACATCAATACTATCCGTTTAATTGAAATTAACACTTGGGATGCACTATTAATTGATTTAATACCAGTTATTTTACACTAAGACAGGAGGTTATAATGTGAAGAGACAAAAGAGTATTATATATATAGCATTAGAATATTTCAGATTGAAGAGTAAATTGTGCTGAAATTACAAACGCCAGTTATTAAATTGATGCATATGGATTTGATGAATACCTTTTTGTCAAGAGAGCTTTATTTGTCATATATAAATCGGGTTAATAAGCCTTAACTAACAGTTCAACAAAATAATCGATTTATAATCGAAATCATACAGCAAAATACGGAATCACACCGACTTTATGCATCATGAATTCATGAGACAAGAGACTGTACAAATCAGAAAATCTATAAAAATACAGGATATATAATTGACAATCGAGCTACCATCGATACTAATACAACTCTAACTCTCTTTGTGTTCATTTGCACCCGATTAATGTTCAAGTTCAATCGTAAGTTTATTTATTTATCTAAACACATAAACATTGGTACAAGGAGGCGCCAAATATATATGCGCCACATAAATAATTCGATGTGTGATGGCTGAGATACTGTCCGGGTGCCCAAACCGAAACAGGTGGTTTTCCTAGGGGGCCACACCCGGAGCCTACGACATGAAGGTCTGATTCATAAGGCAGTGAAGCAACGTTAATTGTAAGTATTAATTCATTTCCGTTATTCACAAACAAACCATGAAAGGAAACGTCTTCTTAAGGATATCTGAAATGTAAACTGCGCTATGAGTGGTTTTGAAAACCACAGAGCATGACAACAGTGCTTGATAGATAACTGCTAGGGGATTTGTTTTTAAAGGTTTAGATGAATTAGATTCATACTTTAAAGGCCTAATCGTAACCAAAGGAAATCCATAGGCCAGTGTGAGGTGTAATAGTTTTAGAGTCAACATTTTCTAATCCCATTTTTCCATCGTGGGAAGGCATCATTGCTAAATATCCTCATTGTTTGATAGGAATACTTTATTGTCATCTCACCTCAAAGCAGTCGGTAGTACAGCTTTCCCCTCGCAACTTAAATCTGCTGCTTATATACACACATTATTCTAAAAGACGGAAGTCATATATACCATGTAAATTTCCCTTTATATAAACGCGCATGACTAAGAGAAATTAATATCCATTAATCACTTTTTAAAATATTCAATCTTTATTCGTTTCATTTATTAGTCCTCCATGAGAATAACAACAGTATATCACACTTTTCCCTATGAAAAATCAATGATACACGTTAAAGTTAATTTTATAAAACTATATTTTTAGTACAAACAAACTTACGCAAAAAGGATTAAGATAAAAGACAACACATACAACAAGGAAAATTCTAATGATAAAAGATTTTATTGAAAAAAGAAATAAACAGTGAATAGGAAGTACGGATACTTACATGCCAGAACATTCCACTGTACATCCAATCAGTGTTTCAGAGACTAAAGTAATAATAATAATATTGACCTTATTAAAAATGAAAATCCAAAATAATAAAGTTGGAGATGATTATCTGCCATGAATACTGATATTACTGAGAGAAGTATCAGATTGCTTTTGTATCTTCATAATTCCAAATGACTTAGTTAAATTATATTTATAAAGACTTATATTGTCAAAGATTTACCAAGTGTTTTAATGACCTAATTACTATTATGATGACAGTCACCAAAGTAGATAAGCATAATGACTGTAATCTACCGAAAACTAACAGAAGTTGAGAATGTCGAGTATCGGGTCACACGTTGGAAAATCTCTCAAAAATCTGTAACTGAAACCAAATTTGTCACATCGAGCTACACATTTAGTACTTTGAGAAATCCAATGATCAACATCTACAACACAACTATCAGTACTAAGTTCTAGTTTGCTAATGCAGCTACTCAGATACACGAAGTTCTTGGCTACTTCCATCTGTTCACTACCAAGGGTGAGTGCAGGATCAAGTTCTTGTCAATCTTGTAAAACCACTTTACACTTCGAAAGTGCAAAGCACATACCATACCTACGGATAGTGATTGCCAACTGACTAAGTGCGGATTGCATAGTTCGGGTACCATTGCACAGTAAGACATTATAATCCACATACTCAAGGTGAAAAAGTCCTTCCCAGCAACAGATCTACACCACCACTACCACTTACATCCATCAGAGCTGTTTCTAGAACGTCTTCGGACGCAAAGTTGAAGAAGAATGGTGAAATTGAGTAACCCTGTCTAACCCCACTGCTTGAATGGAACAGAGTGGAGAGGCGGTTGTGTGCCCTCACTTTGCCTGAGGTGTCAGTATATAGGGCTTGGAGAACAGGACAGTCTGATCGATATCATAGGGGCAGCAGATCAGTTGAACTGCTCCTCAAAAAACTCTTCATCGTCCAAGACGTCGATAGATGTTAGTGATTAGTATCCCGTCATCTTCACAGATTGTTTAACTCACACCAGACTACTTGCTGCCAGTGACTCAGATGAGTTGAAAGATATTCCGGCAGTTACGAGATGCAGCTGCTACCTCCAACTCATTAGCAAACTCCGACCACCAGACTTCTCGATACTTACGCAAGCTTCGCCCAATTTCATTGCGCAACATTTATGGTCAAACTCGCGGTCACTAAGAGCAGACCAACGGGCTTCAATGAGTTATAAGGAGCCTCAAGAAACCCGGTGTTTATAGGCTGGACGTTTAGAGAAGCCGCAAGCGACGTTACTCGCCATTTTCATTATGTCATGCAATTGCAACCAATGCTCATCTACACCTTTCGGTGGGATGGTAGCTAGCCCTGAACCTAGCTTGGTTTGATATTTAGTTGCAACAGAAGCTACAACCCATTTACTGACATCGATCCGTTTAGGACGACGAATTTGTTGACCACTGAAAAGATAAAATTAGTGCAGACAAGGGCATGATCAGAGTCCAGATAGGTACTCCAAAAGGAGCAGCAGTCTTGTACACAACTAAGCCATTGGTAGCTGATAGCGATGTGATTAATCTGAGTCCAGGCTTGGGATACAGAGGGAGGACGCCAGGTAGCACATCGGCAGTGGCTGTGCCGGTAGTTAGTGATAGCCAGAAACAGGTTGTGGTCTGTGCACAGCTGTAGTAGACGGTCCCCTTTATGTGTCCTGCAACCAACAAGTCCCCATCGGCCACCTAAGCGACTCTCTTATGTACCTAGACGCCCGACCTGAGCATTCAAGTCCTAGGCTAGTACTACGATATCTGTCGAACGCACTTTCTTTAGAACTGTTAACTAGTGGTAGAACTCATCCTTTATAGCATCCGGGCTGCAATCTGTCGGAGCATAGGCGGAGATGACGAAAAGAAATCGTTTCTCACGCCGATTTCTTCTCACTTTGATGGAAATTCCTAATCTAACAGCACGTAACCGACTATTAACGGGGATCCAATCGATTAGTGCCGCCTCAGCTTTAGCTCTTTGTGTGACACCAACGCCAGTCAAACAAGATGAAGATGCTACGGAGTCCCTGGATAAAAGCATGTGAAACAAGCTTTTCGAAACGAAAGATGAAGAGCGAATCCATAGTATTTCACTAGAGTCTTGAATAAAGATCTTGGATAGACAACAGATATCGATATTGAGACTTTCTAAAGACATAGCCAACCCTATCTGTTGTCCGATCTGTATTAGTGTGCGAACGTTGAAGGAAGCCAGTTTGAATTGTATACGTGGTTTCAATGTTCGTATTTGGTGGTAGCGTTTAAATTCCAACCAGTCATTGATTCGCGATCGTTTAGATAGGATAGAGTTTCCACCATAGGCGAGTTGCTGTATAAGTTGAAAAATAAGAATAAACAAAGTGAGAATGGAAGAGAGTAGATAAGTGACGTAGTATATAAAAGATGAAGATGAATGTTATCAGATGAATGTTATCAAATGAATGTGAATGTGATTCGTCTGAATTTTAATTGAAGCAAGAATAATAGTTCCAGTAGTAATTGTCATTTGATTTGATTTTTTGTGGGCTGTGATACTGCCCGGGTGCCCAGACTGAAGCAGGGGATAACTACTACTTTACTCATAACATTTTAACTACATAGGCCACACAACTCACTAGAACTAAACTATACATGTACATACATACACTTACATTGTTTTTACTCTGTACATTACAAGACTAGGCTAGAAAATGTAAAAAAAAATCTACAATAATTAATATAAGAACTGAACTCACATAGGTCTAATCTATCTCCTGCCTTTAATGAAGGTGTAGTTGTTTTAGGATCTGGTATACTACAAAATCCTCCTAATCCAGGTATACCAACAAGATTGGAAAACAAATCATTTGGAAATATCTCCGAATTCTGAACTGATAAACAAATGTTATCAGCATCGACAATAACATCTTGACATGAGGTAACATTCATTTTTAAAGTCAGCATTCTTTCTAACCAAATATGTACAATAAGATATATCCCGATTGCACGTTGAATATGCTCACGTTCATTATTCGGTAATCGATAGATTAAATCCATATCATTACATGTCAACATTTGCATCTTATTACTACTAGTAGTAGCATTAGTAGTATGTTTTGTTATCTCGTCTGATTGCTCCAAGAATGATGAATATGGTTGTATTAACAGACGAGCATCTGTAGCTAATGTAGATAGCAGAGGAAGTGCTGATTGAATACGACGTAATTCATTTTCAAACAGGTCTAGAAATATTGCACTAATCTATTTTTGATAGACGGGACCAAATATCAGAAAACAAAAAAGTCAAAAAGTTATTTCTCCCAATGTATAATATCCACAGAATTAACTAATAATAAGAATTATATGATAGACGTTCACAATAAAAAATTTCGTAGTAAATTTCTTTCATTATGCAATCATATTAATTGATAAATTAACTGAATGGGAAAAATGAGGTAAAGACTATGGAAAAGCAGTGATCTTGAGCAATTGTTTGACCTCGGACATCCAATCGGAACATTGATATTTACGCAAGTAAGCTTCCCTAAAAAGTTGAAAACATACTACGCTGCATACAGAGAGTCTGAATGATTGTTTGTAAGCTTACCTGTAAGCTATTTATGTTTCAAATTAAACAGTTTTCGTATGAGTACTTCTTTACATAGCTTAATGATGTCGATCGTTCAGAGTACTTATATACTCTAGTAAATAATTCCATTATCAGTTACACATCCCACTCATAAAATTCACGTGGATAAAATACTTTAATCTCAGTACCACATTATGACTATAACAAATCCGATGGTATAGCTGAATTTGCTGACAATGTATCAGGTGATTCAATATACAGTAAAGTCTGATGATGATCTAATTGATCCACAATGTGAATCTTCTTTATTTCAAAAATCACATTGGGATTCTACTACGTTCAAGGGACTCAATGAGTTCCCGAATTCCAATCCAGGTTTCACTGAAGCGAAAGCAACCCGAGAATTTACTAATGATTGCATATAACAGACTAGCAGATAACCTAAAAATCACTAGAAATCTTTACGCCGTAAAATCCACTCTAATGTAAAAACACTTAGAAGACATGCGTTTAGTTAAACAAACCTTTTAAAAATTAATATCAGTGACTTAGAAAGGAATCTCCTAGAGAGGAGTTTTGCTGTTAAAAACAAACCATTGGAAATTAAATCACTTTTTATGGATTATGTGGATATGGTATCCAAAAACAGACCTGAGAAAACAATGGAAAAATTAGTGGAAACTCTGGAATCAAAAACCGAGAAGGTAATTTTCTTTAGACTCAAAACAGTGTTGAGTTAGATTTGGTTCAATTCGAATCTTTTTGCTTCTGACTAGACGAGGTTGTCAGGCTTAATACCACGTTAGTCGATAGTTGCCAACACCACGTATGCTAAACAAGCAACATGAGGGGGCTTGAACATAGCTAAGCAAAGATTATACCTTGGCCATAACTAAGTCACATAAGGGAGTTGCAGTTTTAATGGACAAAACGGAAAACATTGATAAAGTGGATTTGATGCTTAATGATCTTACTAAACTTCAAGAACTTATTGATATTAAAAACATCAATGAAAAAGTAGGCTAACAGATGGCTAGTTCTCTCAGAAAACTTAAAACGAATGAGGATAATTTCATCTGAGATGTCTGATTCACTTAACCAACTGGATTAAACACACCACGACTCAACGGTCTACCTAAATTTTAAAAGTCGGGTCTTTTTCTTTGTTCAGTTCTAAATACATACAATTCTCTATATCGAAAATCGCTAACTGGTTAATTTGAATCCTAGAGCCTCTGAACAAATCAGTCGTAAAAACAAGTGTTAATGACGTTCTTGACTTCACTTCCGACGTGGGAGGAACAAATGTTAGTAAAGAAAAACATTATTTCTCTAAACGTCGTATCTTTATTTACTAATGTACTACAACTAATCGAGAAAATCGAGTTCATACGTAAACAAATATCAGAAAGACAAAACAGTGGCTCCCCTGAGGATAGTCTAAAAGAACTATTCCTAATATGTTTAATGAACGGTCATTTTGTCGGTAACAATATTTATAATGGGAAAAATCGATGGGATAGCTATGAGTTCACCACTGGACCCGATTTCAGTCTATCGCTTGTTAACAAACTTAGAAAACAAACCCCTCAATGAGGTTTTCGACAAGCTATATCTATACTGCCGATACATTGACAACACATTTATCATCGTAGATCACAATATTCATAAAGAACTTTTAAACTAGTTTAACAGTGTACATCTGGCATTGGTGGGGACGAGTGTGACAACAAATCAGATTTCTTTGACATCTCATTAAGTAGATAAAGTGAGGGCCCGTTAAGCAGAAACGTGTAAAGAAAAATTTCCCGTGTCAATACACACCCATACTCTACAAAAGAAATCTAGTTAGATGTCTCACAAGCAGAGCAAAAAAGATCTTAGATGATACCATAAAAGTGTTGGGAAATATTAATAAGGTGACGGACATAGAGTACCAGAAATTTTTTTAAGAAGTGCATATATAGAAAGAGAAACAAGTTGGAGATATGAACCGATAGTAAGAAACCCCCTTTCCTCAAGTTAAAATTCAACAGGATTATGCCTTGCGATATACTGCATAAAGCATTAGCGATGATAGTTAGATGAACATTTTACGCAACCAATTAAACCAGTGATATCTACTCAAACAAAGTATAAATTCTCCTCTCCGATGTCCATCTATAAATTCAGCTGCTCCCGAAGAGATGGCTATATTGGACAGACTACTAGGCAACTTAACTAACGAACGAGTGAACATCTTCCATCTTGACTTTGAAAGGACCAGATGAAGATAATACGCAATTCTATTATGCCACAACTGGTTGACAGTGGTCATAAGGTAGATAAAACTAAATCAAATCAGATGATCTATCATATACCATCGCCGTTTCCCGGTGGGATTTGATCCCGTCTTCCATATATACCAGAGGCAATAGGGATCTGAACCTATAACCCTAGTTTATGTGTTCAGAATAAATTAGTGATACATCTGTCCCATCTTTAGCTGGGTATGAGATGACCTAATAAACGACTTTTTTCACATCCTGTATATGTTTGTCATTTTTCACCTCCTTTCGCTTATATGCTTCACTATCCAATTACTTATACAATTCTTATTACGTAATTTTAGTAGTGTTTTGTGATTATTATTTTGAAGTTTATTTATCCAAGTTTGATTTCATGTGTTGAACTAATGAATAGAACCTTTGTTATTTTATTATTCTTAACAGTACTAGTACATCTGTCCTATCATCACCAATTTGTAACTTTTACCTATAATATGTAGTTATGCAATCTATTTCATTGTGACCATTGACTAATGCTGAGAATTCTAAATTGTACTAAATATATAGTATTGAATAAATTTATTATTATCATTACAAATTACCTTGCTTGGTCTAACATTTTCATATAACCAAAACAGATTATGAATTGTTAGGTCTGTCTATCAGAAAGATTGGTATTTTCAAACCCAGTCAACCTGAGATATGAATCAATTTTGAATGTTTAGTTATGGAATGCATATATATATATATATATATATATATATAATCAATTAAGAAATGATAGCTTCAGATAATCGAACTTGACAAACGTCAACAGACAAAGTGATACCTATTTAAAATATGATTTAGGTGTTTAATCACGAAATGACATTAGTGAGGTGTCTGAGATTCAGTGTGGCACAGAAAAACTGTTTTATTCTAGTCTACGACTTCATAACTCCGCCTAGAGTCCCTCCGGGGGCTGCTGCTGGTCCCAAGCCGGATAAAGGAGGAGGGTTGGGCATGGAGTTAGCGACCCCATCCTGTAGAAAGCTAACTCGCCAAAAAAACGCTAACCAGAAAAAATTATTCAAACCTTCTAAACTCTGTCTTGGGAGTCAGAAGGTCTTCATTTAGAAGAACTATGACGCCTCATGATGAAAGCCGAATTCCTTCGGAAGTTACGAGGCCGATGCCCCTTCTGACAAACAGAGCAACCATTTATTCAGGTACATGGAATACTGGCAGAGTCTTCCAAATTACAACCTAGAGGTGCTTGGAATCAGTGAAACACATTGGACGCAAGTTGGACAACAACGACTAGCTTCAGGGGAGCTTCTATTATACTCCGGCCATGAAGAAGAAAATGCTCCACATACACAACGAGTTGCATTGATACTGTCCAAACAAGCACAAAATGCATTTATAGGATAAGAATATCATGGACCAAGGATCATCAAAGCCTCCTTCAAAACAAAGAAAGAGGGCATTTCAATGAACGTCATCCAATGCTATGCGCCTACCAACGACTACAAAGAAGACGCTATATATCAATTCTACAATAAGCTGCAGTCAGTCGTCGAGAAGTGCCCAACAAAGGACCTGACCATTCTGATGGGAGATTTCAATGCCAAGGTTGGAGTGGACAACACTGGATATGAAGGCGTCATGGGACGACACGGACTGGGAGAAAGAAACGAAAATGGTGAGAAATTTGCAAACCTATGTGCCTTCAATAAACTGGTCATAGGCGGCACTATATTCCCACATAAGCGCATTCACAAAATCACATGGACTTCACCAGATCACACCACGCAAAACCAAATCGACCATATTTGCATCAACAAAACGTTCAGGAGGACTATAGAGAACGTGAGAACCAAGAGAGGAGCTGATATAGCATCAGATCATCACTTGGTGATCGACAAGATGAAATTGAAACTCAAGAAGCACTGGACAATGGGGCGGACAATATCACAAATGTTCAATATGGCCTTTCTTCAGAACACTGACAAACTCAACAAATTCAAGATAGTCCTCAGCAACAAGTTTCAGGCCTTTCATGATCTACTCAATGGAGAAGGAGCTACTGTGGAGAGCAACTAGAAGGGGATCAAAGAGGCAATCACTTCAACATGTCATGAGGTCCTGGGTCACAGGAAGCACCACCACAAGGAACCGGTCACTGTTGATACACTGGATAAGATTCAAGAAAGTGGGAACAAGAAGGCAGCAATCAATACCAGTCGAACAAGAGCAGAAAAAAGCCAAGGCACAAGCTGAATACACAGAAGTAAACAAACAAGTGAAGAGGGGCATCAGAACCGACAAACGTAAATATGTGGAAGATTTAGCAACGACGACGGAAAAGGCTGCAAGAGAAGGAAACATGAGAGAACTGTATAACACGACAAAGAAACTATCTGGAAATCGCCGCAAACCAGAACGACTAGTGAAAAGCAAGGAAGGTGAGGTAATCGCCAATATTGAAGCAGCACCCACGGACCTCCCAATCAATGTTGGCCCACCAACAATTGAAGAAATCAGCATGGCCATCAGGCAAAACAAGAGTAGAAAAGCAGCAGGACCAGACAACGCTCCAGCACAGGCATTGAAAGCAGACGTAGCAGTAACTGCAACGATACTCCACATTCTCTTCAATAAGATTTGGGATGAGGAACAAGTACCAACAGACTGGAAAGAACGACTTCTGGTCAAAATACCAAAGAAAGGCGATCTCAGCAACTGTGACAACCACAGTGGCATCACTCTTCTCTCAATACCGGGAAAAGTCTTCAACAGGGTATTGTTAAACAGAATGAAGGACTGTGTAGACGCCCAACTTCGTGAACAACAGGCAGGATTCCGTAAGGATCGAACGCATACAGACCAAATCGCAACTCTACAGATCATTGTGGAACAATCAATTGAATGGAATTCATCACTCTACATCAACTTCATTGACTACGAGAAAGCATTTGATAGCGTGGACAGGACAACACTATGGAAGCTTCTTCGACACCACAGCGTGCCTCAGAAGATAGTCAATATCATGCGGAATTCCTATGATGGATTCAACTGCAAAATCGTGCATGGAGGACAATTGACAAAGTCGTTCGAGGTGAAGACCGGTGTCAGGCAAGGTTGCTTACTCTCACCCTTTCTCTTGCTCCTGGTGATCGACTGGATCATGAAGACGTCAACATCTGAAGGGAAACACGGGATACAGTGGATAGATAGGGCGCAGTTGGACGATCCAGACTTCACAGATGATCTGGCCGTTCTATCCCAAACGCAACAACAAATGCAGGAGAAAACGATCAGTGTAGCAGCAGCCTCAGAAGCAGTAGGTCTCAATATACACAAAGGGAAAAGCAAGGTTCTCCGATACAACACAGCATGCACCAATCCAATCACAATTGACGGAGAAGATTTGGAAGATGTAAAAGCCTTTACATATTAAGGGAGCATCATTAATGAACATGGTGGATCTGATGCAGATGTGAAGGCGCGGATCGGCAAATCAAGAGCAACATATTTACAACTGAAGAACATCTGGAACTCCAAGCAACTGTCAACCAACACCAAGGTCAGGATTTTCAATACAAATGTCACGACAGTTCTACTGTATGGGGCAGAAACCTGAAGAACTACAAAAGCCATCATCCAGAAGATAAAGGTGTTTATTAACAGTTGTCTGCGTAAAATACTTCGGATCCGTTGGCCAGACACTATTAGCAACAACCTACTGTGGGAGAGAACAAACCAGATCCCAGCGGAGGAAGAAATCAGGAAGAAGCGCTGGAAATGGATAGGACACACATTGAGGAAAGCACCCAACTGCGTCACAAGACAAGCCCTCACACGGAATCCTCAAAGCCAAAGGAGAAGAGGAAGACCAAAGAACACATTACGCCGGGAAATGGAAATAGGCGTGAGAGAAATGAACAAGAATTGGATGGAACTAGAAAAGAAAGCCCAGGAAAGAGTGGGTTGGAGAATGTTGGTCGACGGCCTATGCTCCATTATGAGTAACAGGCGAAAGTAAGTAAGTAAGTACGACTTTATAATAATGACTGATCTCTCACACCTCTACATGGAAAATGAGCGTATTAATGTAAATGAGAGAATAACGTTCAATTTTTCCGTTGAAAATTCACACATTTGTATGGAAGAAAAGTTAGTATGAAAATGTTAAATATCTAATGTGATTAATAATTGATCATAAAGGAGGATATTAAAGTGAGTTATCTGCTTTCTCATTCCATGTTTAATACAAATAAAATATATTCATTAGGAATATGGTATCAAAATTACAACCAGGAGATTTTCAATGAAATTAAACTATCTAGTGGGAATGTTAGCTGTTTATATACTATGTAGTTTGCTTCAACAGAACAATCATTTAAATTCTTGAGAATACCACATTAATATTAAGACATGATTTAGTCTGTATATCATGTAAGTTTTACGTAAATTTTACTTGAAATCAGTGAACTACATAACGTTTTCTAGAAATTGAATAGAAACCAAATCCTACCACGTGTCTACAAAGTTTTTTGGCATCTAATAAACAGTGGTCGGCGTCTCTACATTAGTGGTACAATATTCGTCTACTGATAAATATTAAAATGATGTCCTCAGATATCAGTTCAAAATATCAATCCAGGTTTAACTGGCAAAAATTCATGTTTATTTTTTATAACTTATACAGTTAAATTAGCTATCCGTTGCTGTGATAACTGACGATATATTTGGAGCGACAACATCTTGTAAATTCCTAGATCGAAATCACGGAACAATACTGAATGCTCCCACCTCCCAAAAAAGACACTAGCCTTATCAGAAAAGACACGGTCAGGTTGGGGCAACAGATATTACTCTTGAAGCTTGTGACCAAATATACTAGTTTGTAGACGTTTTGTCCACCGGTTTCACCACAGTCCTTTTAATGTCACTGTCTTGAGACCGGCACTACAGAACTCCTGGTCTAGAGTACATACCATTTTTGTAATTAGTTAGTTCATTCTCGAAATGATCATATTCAGTATATCTTATTCTGTTGATAAATGAAATAATCTTTCAAACTCGAAATAACATACTCTTGCAAATTTGCCAACAGTAGTAGATTCTCGTTTATCAGACAATTCATGGTCCGATTGTCAAGATTACTTTAAACGATACGCTGAACATAGCAGAGTATGTGATGAACAGTAGAATTTTATCCAAAGTATTCGTAAATGCCACTTTATTTTCTCAAACCTTTGAATAACCAATATTCAAAATATCTAACAATCAAACACACCGGTCAATGAAGCTACAATACAGTATGACTGATGAAGCCTCCCAGATTTCTATGAATTATACAAAATATGCAAAACAAAGAATGATACGCTAACTTCAAAACTACCATTTTAAAAAATCAATTATATGCCATCTTTCGAAATACAACAGAACTCTATGAAGCAAGGTATAGATTTAGAAAACATATATTGAGAAACGAATATTCTTGGGGTTAACCCACTAGGACCAATAATGACTTCGTTCAAATACTCTTGTCTTTCTAATGAACAAAATGACCACATACGAGTAAATGTATAAGTTATCAATATTACCATTTTAACTTGGTAAATGATACATGTAAACGATTAGATAATCAACAATGAATTGAAAGTAATCAAATGTTTAAGCTGATAAGTTAGTCATTTGGTTTTAATGTTGAATACAAATTCAGTGGTAAAATTTGACGATCGTACTATAGAAACAAATGTGGAGATTTACAAAACAATGTTAGCTACTACTTAGGACGATAATAAGATTGATTTCTAGAAAAAACGTCTGATCTACGTTGTTCATACTGTAAAATACATTAAGTGATAATTAGCATTGAAATATAAAATGAATGTTTCTTGTATCTAACTGACTGAATACACCTGAACTGAACTGAAAACTGAACACTCTCACAAGAAACAATATAGTTCACTAATCAATATGAAGCTGAAAAAAATTGAATCCGATCTTAGGGTTATCATAGTACCAGTTTTACGTAGTCAGTTTCAAAGAATTGATTTTATGTGCAATGATGGCTCGGTGATACTATCTATGACCTTACAAACTGAAGTAGAGATGAAGCGAAATTAAAACATGCAAACCGGTAATTGAAAGTCAAGTACTTCAACTACTAGGTCACTATTTCACTATAGTGAATATGAATACGTCCTATCAAATTTTATTTTAACTTCATTGTTAGTAAAAAAAAAAATTCATAGCAAACATATACTGCGAAATATTAATTTATATACATATAGCAAGAATACCTCAAAATAGCTCCTTAATACAAGCATCGCTTCTTCGCGAGCATTAATAATTTCAGCGAAATGTTGATCGGATAATTGACAACCACAATTGACGCTATATACTAAGTCTGTTAGCAAACGAATAGCCATTCGTACAGTGATTAAACGAATACGACTTTCTGTAATTTTAAAAATAAAATACAGAAGAATAGAATGCATAGGAAAGGTTAACTTAAAGAAAATCTAACCGTATTAATATCAAGATTTTAACATGCTGTTCTATATAAACACAATTGATCGTCTATTTCAAAAAAACAACCAGAAATAATACTGGTCTGAGGATATTACTTATCTGGTTAGGTGAGATGGAAGCATGTACAACTTACACAAGTGAACAATAGGAAGACATCGACGTTTGACTGTATACCTTCAATTAGCTTCATTCATTAAAATTAACAAGTTTATTATGAAGTGTCAAACACTTACTCCTGTTACACCTAGTGGAGCATAGGCCGCAAGTGTTAAATATAATCCACCGAAATGTATATTTTAATGCATTATTTGTTGTTACAGTGTTATAAAACATTTTCGGGAGAGAACCAGTTAGTATTATGACATAAATACATGTTACTATTGGTTTGAACATTTGAACATCGTGCATCCATTTAAGTACATAAAAAATAATACGAGGAAAGTACGCGTTTAAACATTACATCCCAATCCATTCTAATTGATTTATATAACTGGGGAGCGTATGGTGAGACTTTTGTTGATAAAACTGATAAAAATAACCCCAAGAGTATAATTTAATTGCCTAAACATTGCCTCCTCCCTCGGCTAATTTATTTAATTTAACTTAAACAGTCACTAGTACATACAAGTCTTCACAGCATAATTTAAAGCCTTATAGACCAATAGTGCATGGAATATCATTGAATTAATGGTATTTGATGTATGGGCGAGAATGATAATGATTGGTTGTCTGCTTAGTCAGACAGTAGATAGTCTAACAGGTGTCAGATGAGTTATGTATTCCCCTATCCTTATAATTATTATGATTGATTGTTCATTATTGTTGGATTGTGTCGGATTTTGGTGTGGAAATATACTTACGTTCTAGTCAGGCTAGTCACGTGTTCTTGATTTGAGTTGTGTTGAAGTTCTGTAGAATAAACACTGGAAGGGAATCTAGTGTAGATATTCGTCTAAGGTAAATTAACGTCCCATACGTGTAAACGTGGAAATCCAACCGTTATAGGTATTCTACGATATTTTTAGGTTTAGACTAAATCGACAATGTACAGATATACTTCTTCGACTATTTAATCAAGAACCAGACATAAACAACAAAAACATAATAATAGTAGGAAGAATTTATTTACAATATCAAAGTAGTCCATTAATATATGATCCTTCTGATTGTCTATCATAACTTACATTGTCTGGATACATTATACTCAAACATCACTTTTTACTGAACAAGAATAAAAAAATGATTATTTACAGTTTCATTTGCTAAACACAAAGTATATTGAGAGTAGTTTAAACAGTTTTATCACAATCGATCCCTTCTACGTAAGTAATAAACTCCCGTTTGTAGTTGAACATTCAATACTCTCACCTACATATACAAATCATACCATACATTTAGCACGGAAAAACATTCTAAAAAACCGAATTAACAAAATACATACGTATACTTTCAATTAGCATTCCTAACTATATCAATTATGAAGTAGACCAATGAAATTTGAAAATCCTTACATCATATATATGTATATGATCAATCACACAGAAACAATAGGTCCAGAAGACATCTAATTAACTAACTCACAAACATTGAAACAACTAAGAGTATTTTGCACAACCAATACATACACAAACATTTTATTTAGTGATGAATCATTACTACCCTATAAGAAGTGCAGAGGATGTGAAACGGGAAAACGGTAAATACGAAACAGTAAAATAATAAGGTCAAAAAGTACAAATAAGCTGCTGATATCCGAGAAAATATAGAAAATAGTGAAATGGAATAGATGACTACTTAAAAATTCCAGTAGCACAACTTCTATCTAGACTAACAAAGATTAAATAAGTGAGAAGTAAAAGGAACGGTAGACCAATACGCACTATTCATTGTAATTGATGTTGCAATTTTAAACAGTAATTTATATTATCAGAATGTGTTTTGTGGAGATTTTTAGAAATTTTCACAGATTGAACTCATGAGTCAGTTGAAGCTAGACCACCATTGAAAACCTGGAAGCACTGGACGGCCGTTTCGTCCTAGTATGGGACTCCTCAGCGGTGCGCATCCACGACCCCGCACCACCCGGGGCTCGAACCCAGGACCTACTGGCTTCGCGCGCGAGCACTTAACCATTAGACCACTGAGCCGGCATCCAACGGTGTTAATGTCTAACTTCAACCAATCCACGAAGTTGCGCTACCGTACACCATTGTCTTCAGTGAGTTCCTATCTCACAACAGACCTGGTTGAACTCCACTGGTAACGACTTCTCACTAGAACTCCAGAAGTGTCTCCCGAAGTCAGTCACTAGTGAGCAGGTGATTGTTATTATCAGAATGTGTTTTGTGGAGATTTTTAGAAATTTTCACAGATTGAACTCATGAGTCAGTTGAAGCTAGACCACCATTGAAAACCTGGAAGCACTGGACGGCCGTTTCGTCCTAGTATGGGATTGGTTGAAGTTAGACATTAACACCGTTGGATGCCGGCTCAGTGGTCTAATGGTTAAGTGCTCGCGCGCGAAGCCAGTAGGTCCTGGGTTCGAGCCCCGGGTGGTGCGGGGTCGTGGATGCGCACTGCTGAGGAGTCCCATACTAGGACGAAACGGCCGTCCAGTGCTTCCAGGTTTTCAATGGTGGTCTAGCTTCAACTGACTCATGAGTTCAATCACTAATTTATATGCCAAATTCATGAATATTTATGAAATTTTTAAACGATATTTTGTGTACGAAGGAGAGAACTACTGTTACTACCCGCATGTTAGTCCAATTAAGAGTATGTATGAAGCGGTTTGCATCTGTAATCCAATGACTGAGACTAGATCGATTTAACCACTGAGATATCGACGAAAACATGAAGCAATAAAGTAAAAAAATGAGCACGGGAGAATGAATGTTGATAATATTGTAAATTCTAAAGATGAAATGTATATCCAACCAGACAGTCTATATAGCAGATTATTAGTTATCCAAATGATGGGATTAAAACCCAATCGTATTATATCTCGATATTATATCACACACCGAATGGTTTGAACGTAAATTCACAGAAAACTGTAAATAAAATTATTCACACAACCACATCCGACACAAAATCGACGTTTCATATCATCATATGCATGTGTTGGGAACACTTCGTGTCATACACCAGTCGATGAAGACAAGACATTTTTTACATTGATTGAGACGGCTTAGATACTTATGTAATAATTCATCCTGGTATCCGACTATGAGATGATGAGACTACATAGTACAAAATAAGGATGATCACTTCATGACCTAACTCAAAATATAAACCTTGCACAAGTTAAACCTTTTATTGACTAATTTTCATTGTGTACTTTTCAACATCGCATTCATTTAGTTGGCCTCCTGCTATTATTATGTCGTTAAATGTGACAACCTGAACTGCAACACTTGCGTGAAGGTCCTGATATATCTCTTTGCCTATCACTGTTATTTCTAAGAATTTCAGCAGACATTGTTGTCATTTACTAGTTCAAATGCTGTCATTCTATTCAGACAATCAACCGTAACTATGCTTAAAATTTATACAATGCATAAATGATGCAGTTTACTCATTACTAAAATGAATAATCATTTCAAACATGATCATGAGTGAACACGAAGAAAATATACTACCATGATTACAATGCAAATAAAACACATTTTTACACAATGAAATATCAAAACAGTAACTATTTACTCACCAGCTTTACATGCGTCACCAATTAATTCAATAAGCTTTGTGACAAGTGTATAATTATACGATGGTTCATTTTTCTAATATACAGGACAGAAAGACAAGAGGGTAGAAAATATAGACAACCAAAAATATTATACTAAAATAAGAAGCAATTTCTAAATAAAATAAATGAATTATAGCTGGTATTTCTTATCAATCAACGTATGTTTGCAGTGTAAATTCATTCAGTAATGAATAAGATGAAGAATAATTTCACGTTTGGTGGAACAACTGAATAGTTAGTTCTGGGCTTATCAGGTAGAGATGGAAAATCAGTTAATGAGGTTACGAACAATTATCGACTGAGATGCACAGATCCAGCCATTATCCACTTGAATGTGCTACACTGGTTAGCGTAAGAAGTTGAAAAAAAAAACGTTGAAGGTGACTAGATGAAGCTATTGGTTGTTGAACTGAGCTGTGTCAGGCGGTAGACTTCCTGTTTAGAGTACAATAGATAAAGGTAATGGTTTGTTGAAGATCTTAAATTACATAGTTTGAAACCAGTTGAATCAGAGCAAAACTATTCATTATGCACCTCCCTTTATATATCAAGTCTTAGCATTATTATATACTTTTCACTCCCCGATTTTGAATTCTTTTCAAACTATATATTTGACTCTCCATATTATTTTTGATTACATGTTTCCTTTTTTGTTAACTTCATGTCTAGACACACTGTTATAAGGTGTAACAACTTGGACCGACTCACATCTATGCCAAAAGTTACTAATGGACTAAGTTGCAATCCTAAAAAAACACGTGTTCTAAATAACACCCAACTGAATAACTGTTGATTTACAAGAGACACAACTGATTCGGTATATTCTAAATCCATAAATAGCGGAAATTCACTCCAATCGTTGCTTTTCAATAGTCCATGATGATATGGGAAGATTACATGGATGATTACATGTCTGTTTGAGGAAATGTAGAAGTTTTGAGAAATGTATACATTTGTTCCCAGCTTTCAACTAAGGATGATAATGGTGATATATGTGACATTCACTAAATACAATATACTAGAGGCATCGATGACCATACAACATTGAGGTCAGACTTTGTGATCGACAAACTCTAATCACCAATAAAACAACAGGAACAAATTGATTATATAGGATTCCTTAATTCTTCTACAATTATAAAAATCTACATATTTCATATATGTGGAAAAAGTTGTAACTTTTGAAGTCACAAGTTGAATGCATCGATTTTAATGTTATTATACTCGTTGCTAACATTGTTTATTTTAGATATTTTACGGGGTATAAAGAAAATTCCAATATATTCTAGGTAATATCAAATTCCATGTGAAAGAGATTTATAAAATAATCAAAATTAGTAACGTATACTTTTACAAACTCTTACTACATCGGGACCGTTTAATTGGGCAAGTTTCAAAGTAGCCAAATCAACACCTAGGAGAGTTTTTAAATACGAAGAAATACATTGCGGAGTGAAAAAGTGTGCAAAAGAGGAACAAGTATACATACACATAAACTCTAATATTCCATACATATGCAATAAAAAGATAACCTTGTATACATGTATAGTGATCCAAGTTGTAACAGCACGCAGCTCAACAAAATGAAATTACCAGGATGAAAACAGTATTAATACTAGTAGTAGTAGAAAAAAATTATGTATGACGAGTATGATTCGAAACATATTTTGCGGAATAAAATGTATAAAATACTTTAGAGATTCAGTTAGTCAAGATCTAATAGAACACGAAAAATAAATGTAGAGAGAGATTCCGAATCATATCATCTGATGTTTCATACGAATGGCTACGACAATCGCACAGACTCCAACATGACAGTCGCATGCACCTACCAACTTAACTCCTATTAATAGTTAATGAACATCTGGACCGACGCCATATTTTAATTTAACCTTGCTAGCTAACCTTTACAAAATATAATCAACACGGCTAAAATATCGTCACGCTTGAAAATAAAGTAACCAAAAGATCTAACACTAAAATATGTGAAAACATTTTGATGAGTAAATAAAGAATTTTATCTTGTCTAGGGTTTCTTTAAAACTACCTAACCCCCCTCCCTAAGATCAACTTGGGTGTTTTTTCTCCTACAAACGCGGAAGAACAGGTTTAAACGTAATATATCTTTGAATATACTTTCTTAAACGTTTCATTGAATAGCATAGTATTCTAAACAGATGAAAGATAATTCTGAAATCATAAAAAGAGGTATTAAATGACGATGTAACTGTGAGTAAAAAGATTTAGTATAAATAATTGTAAAAAAATGTCCTCCATAGAAATATCGTTAATGTATAAATTAGAAATAACAATTAGCTGAAAATGTAGTCAATCATAGTTGGTCGTGAGAAGCTGACATAAGCAGAATCGCCGGGTGTTTTAAAAATAATTCATTCAAATAAGCTAACTAATATGCACGAAGACAAACAGTCACATCAATTAATTTGTTGATGAAAACAATCAGAAATTAAATATTGATTAAAACTGATTATTTGATTTAGATCATTGAATATATTAACAGACAAGTCCTTATAACAGTGAATGATCTACCTAATGCTATTTATCCCATACTCTTGTACACAGTGAAGTTCATTGCACGGATTCATGACGAGAATTGTTTGATGGTAAATCAGTTTACTATAAGTTATTTTAAAATCATAATTCTTCTATGTTTTCTGTATCCCAACGCGTATTCAATTGATTTTCATTGGTATTTAACTCCGTGAGCAACAAAACACCCACAAGTCATAAGAATTCGTTTTTTAAAGTTGATTGTAATCTAGAGATGTGAGTGCAAGACAGCTTTCATATCCTATGATAAATCATCTGACTTTGGTTATCACTTAGTCACATTAAAAGGATGATTTACTAGTGTGATATGTGATCTTTACTGTTGAAATAATATTTGGGTATCACCTTAATGAGACTTTCCATTTGGTAAATATACAATTAGAGTCATAAACCCCATTACAAAACAGAAAGAAATTGTTCGAAGATTTTACTTTTCAGAAACACAATCGGAATTTATGCGAAAGAATTAATCTGATAACCAAGAAAATATGTTAACATGTATGCGTTTAGTTGATAGAATTCATCGAGTACAGTTTGTGACTGTTTTCTCTTGAGCATGCAGCCTACATGATTGTTGTTAGTCACTCCACTTATGTCACACATTTACGGAAGATTTATACATTACCTAATCCAAATTACACAACCTCATATGTATTCGGATTAGAGCTAGCACACTGTCATTAGGTTACTAACAAAGTAACGCTAAAGAATAAACAGGGCATTTGCCAGCATGTAAGCCATATTGAATTACCATATTGTTGAAACTCCAAATAGTTTAAACTACTCTAATTCTGTACAATGGTATCAACAACTAACCACGGGAACTGACATTTGGTATGGGTTCTATTACTTTGTAATCAGCAATTATTGTGACATGAACTAATTCCATTCCCACCTCGACACGTGACGGTTGGTGTAGAGGGGGTAAGTAGGAAGAAAGCTAAAGCGGTTAAATCAAAAAGTGGAATTAGTTCACGAAAACACCGACTTTTGAACTGAGCTCTGTAGACAGTTTCAGACTACCTGATTGAGGTCAGTGAAGTTATAGTGGTGACCAGTGGTTAGAGACTTTGACTGATAACTCAGGATCATCCGCAATGGTTCAAGTGTATTCACTCTTTATCTTCCCTTAGATTCTAAGTTTCTCGATTATCTTACAATGATTTTCATTTGATGAATTCATATCTTTTTCTTGAACGCTATCTTCTATAACTAATATTTACTGCCACCACTTATACTGTTACTACCTACACTACACTGATACCTCACTGTGTTGAAGTGATATGGCAACTTCAACCGATACACATATGTGCCAGATTATATGTACGGCTACATATTACCGACTGATTGAAATTAACTCTGTGACTAACACAATGTTACATCAATATGATTAATTGTGCATACAATATAAACAACTGTATGGTTAATCTATCTTGGTAGCCTACATTACGCTAAAAGGATGCTCATTTACATGTTTATTATATTCTAAAGTTACAATCTAACTTTAGCAACCCTTTATGACAGTAAAGCATTACCACCGAAAAGTACAATTATATTTTGAACCTATAACATATTGGTGGATATCATAAGAACATCATAGTTAATGTTAGAGTAAAGGAAAATGTCGATTATCCTTTCTTACAATAACTTAGCCAATGAAAATAACTAATAATCCGAAAGTCAAGTTAACTGATATTTAATTTATTGGGATAATGGAAACTAATATATAAAAAACTACACATCACTTGAATTCATTGAAAATAAATGATCAACTTCCTTTCATAAGCAGATCAATAATCAGGACGGAAAATGTTTCACAGTACATCAATTTACTGATAATTAAACAAAACTATGTCGATGATGATGTGACGATAATAATTATTATTATTATAATTATAACATTCAGAAAAACAAACCCATACACGAATCTTTACAGCTGTTAGGAGATTGTATTTGTGAATCGCCTGGTGACAGATCAGATGAGCGTTTTTCACATGGATTTGAAGAAATGAATGACTGAACCTGTTTATTCATGAGGGTAAAAATATGCAGAAGAATTTTTTCATTATGGGATAAGTAAAGACAAAATAAACTTACCAAGTGTTGTGTCTGAGCGATTGATTAATATCACTTGCTAATTTCTTCAATCAGAATCAAGATTACATTTTCTCTGATACACTTCTGTCATTCCGTTTATAACCTAGCGCCCTTAGTCTTGACTAATTATACATTCTGATCGACACAATCAACCTTAAGCCATCGTAAGCTTATTGATCGGCCTATATGCAATGACTTCAATCCTCAACCCTAAGTCTGAGAAGAAAGCCGTAGCCAAACCTCCATACTATATTTTGAAAAGCCTCTCCAGCAGCTATCCCAAGCCCTCATTAGCTTATATGGCCGACAAAACCAACAACATAAAATAGAAAATCATCGTTATTACACAAACATGTCAAAAGTTACTGTCAACTAGGAAAACTGTAAATAGTTGATTAGCGATAATATAGGAACAATAAAACGTACAGTAATATGTAGTGGGTCAAACGGACGCTTACAACAACTCAGTCAGTCAGTAACAACGTGGAACTTCGTACGTACATACATTGGTTCAAGTTGCCATACCACATTAGCACACAGATACAATTATAGATTCAAATTCCGTAGTGGTAGAGGTAGTAGTCAAAAGATGTTTTTGCTTATGCTTAAAGTTAGTATTTGCAAGAAACAAGCGGTTATCTGAGCATAGCTGCAACAGACGGTCGCCATTATCTGTTCTTTGAGCTACGACACCATAAGATCCACCCAGGTGTCTTTCCCTTTCGCTTAGTTTACCTACTTGAGCATTAAAGTCACCAGCCACTATTACTACATCCAAGCGACTAGCTTTTCGGAGAAGGTCGGAGAGCTTTCTGTAAAACTCATCTTTTACATCATCTGAGCTGCAGTCAGTGGGAGAATAGGCAGAGACGACGAAGAGGCAACGACGAGTGTCCCTATCTTTCCGAGTCCTTATTGTTCCGTTTAATCGGACAGCGCATAAACGACTGTCCACTGGGATCCACTCTAAGAGAGTTAGTTCTGCCCTAGGACTCAATGTTATACCTACGCCAGCGAGGCCATGGGAAGCAGAATCAGGGCTTCCAGATACACGAAGCGTAAATCGAGTTGGTTCGTTACTTTGACATTGTGAGGTTAAATGAATGACACTACTCGGACCCTGTATGCGCATTTCGGAGACGCAGCACACATCGATGGCGCGAGATTTTAAAGTTTTAGCTAAGAAAGCCTGTTGTCCTAATTGGCACAGTGTTTGGACGTTGAAAGCTCCTACATGTAGTTTAGAGCGTGGTTTCAGGAAACCAAGGAATAACGTTCCGCGTACTCGAATCGTTTGCCCTAGCGGTGCGAGGTGATAAAGGGACGTGAGAAGGGTTAGTCGTGGCAATAAGAGATTTATCTGGATGTAGGAGGGATTTGAATGTGACCAACTTGATCTTGTGTGCTGTTACGGGTTTACAACAAACGGAATACAAAAACATAGTCCGGTTACTCAGTAGTTACACAATGTAAAAATAAACAACAATATTGATGAAGATAGTCTAAACAGTAAGAACCTCTCCAATACTCGTTCTGTTATAACATTAGCAAGTAAAGGCTAATGGTATTGCTCAGACACTAAAAATGAAGTAGATGTAGCCAGCTGGGTTCGAATCCATCACGCAGAGGCTGATACGTGAATTCTCCAACCACTAAACCAATGTTTCAGAAAAACACTATAAATAACATCATAAGAAGTTCCATATTGAAATAAGATGAAAAATTTATACATTAGTCCGATCAGAAATCAGCCAAATGAGAAGTGCACGCGATTGGACCAGAAGTGGTTTACATTTCGTAGGAATGATAAAACACACCACTGGTGGCTTTATTTTCTGAAGGATATATGTATGTATGTATGTATATACGTACAAGCATATTCGGTTAGTCAGTAAACTTTCTTTCTTACTCTCAGCCTTCTTCACTCGAGTAGCCGGTTGGGTTCATATTCACAAGAAGACTGAATAACAGTATCAACTATCGAAAACTGTGGGTCACAACAAAAATATTTAACAATTAATTGATTCCTGTACTGTACTGCTATACTGCTTATAAATTTATTCACGAGTGAATCCTTATTATACCTAAAATCATCGTATTCACAAATGACAGTTCTGATACATTCCAGAGTTTTAGAAATCCGTGAAAACTAAGAAATAAATGCTATTTAGCTTTCAGAGTGATATAAAGTTAAACATATTAGTGCCTGATATAATAGCGCGAGTAGTATGTAAGTTTAACTAATGGGAGTATTGTTATATTTTTACGGCCCTTGGATTTTTGTGTCCCTATATTTGAGCTGATGTAAACTAGACCACTAAAGCTGTGATTAGTGGAGTTCAATCCGTGCCGGGTAGAGACAGGTATCTACTTCAGGCAATGGATGAATGGTTACGCAACCATGTGTCACTGATTGTCCCAATATAAAAAAGGGGTCAAAATGATCCTGTGATAACCATAGAGGGATTAGTTTGACTAACACAGCGTCTAAAATACTAGCCTCAATGATTATCAGACGCCTAACAAAAACTCGTGAGCAGCGAACATGAGAAAATCAGGCTGGCTTCAGACCTGGTCGTGGCTGCACCATTCGTCAGACCTTAGAACAGAGGCATGTTTATCAGCGTCCGACAATGATGGCTTTTCTTAACTTAAAAGCAGAATTTGACTCTGTAGATCGAGAGGTTCTGTGGCAGTGTCTGTCATTGAAAGGTTTACCTCAGAAGTACATAAACTTTGTGAAGATTCATTTTTCGAACACTAGTCTAGTCAGAGCTCATGGCGAACTGTCATCTGATTTTGCAACACTAGGTTGTGTCCGACAAGGCTGTCCAATATGTCCATTTCTGTTTAATTTCATCATAGACTTACTACTGCAAATAACGTTCTCGTCGACTGAATTTTCAGGAATTGGTCTCCTTACAGGAGGTCCACTTAACAAGTTAGAATACGCAAATGACATAGTCCTGTTTGGTGAAGACGCTGATAAAATGTACAGTTTTTTGGTAGCACCGAACAACAATGTCGTGATGTTTGAGATCCGTTTCACCCCTCTAAATTCAAATTGTTGATTCAGGACTGACTGGCCTGCGTCAACACCTAAACTAAGAATAAAGAGTGAAGTAGTCGAACGCATTGACAACTTCACTTATCTTGGAAGTCTGATCAGCCCTAATGGGTAGGGGTCTAACGAAATCTCAGCACGGATTCGAAAAGCTCGTTTGGCTTTCGCCAACAAATGTCACCTATGGTGAAGGCGAGATATCGGTCTATCGATAAAAGGACGAGTATACTGCGCAGCAGTTTGTTCTGTTGTACTTTACGGTTGCGAAACGCGGCCATTAAGAGTATGAGATACTCGTAAGTCACTAGTATTTGACCACATATTTTTTGGAAATATTACCAACATCTTCTGGGATCACCGGATAAGTAATAGGGAGGTTAGACGCAGCGTATCAGAGCATGATGGCAAACTAGTTGATAGGGTTGTGAATCAACATCGACTGAGATGGTTGGGCCACGTGTTACGTATGCCCAAACACCGATTACCACGACGTGCAATGCTAACCGGTGTTCGGGATGGTTGGAAGAAAGTTAGGGGCGGCCAAACCAAAACGTGGCATCAGTGCTCGAAGTCACTAACTTCTGGTCTGAGCCATGTTGGTAGATGCAGACTACTTGGTTGGGGTCCGCGTGACTATCGTAACCAATGGTTGGAGACTCTTGGTGACATGGCTCAGAATCGACCACAATGGCGTAGGTGTATACGCTCTTTGTCTTCCCTTAAACAGTGAGATTAAAATTACCTTATGCTTTTCATTTTACGAACTAATTTTTTTTATTATATTCAATCCTTCTTTTATACATTACTACCATTGAAGTAACTACTATGAATTTGGTGATCATCTTGCCGTGCTAATGAGGGGTGGCAACTTGAACCGACGCATATATATGCCTGGTTCTACGTTGTAGCTGATTCACTGAATGTGATAAAAAGTATATATGCATAATAAATATGAAACGAATATGAAATTAGTATGGGAAGTTTAAAGAGACTGTTGAACTTTCACGGTTTACATTGCGGACTGATCTTAGACAAACATTGAAAAACAAGAAGCACTGAGTAACTGTTTCATCTTAGTGTAGGACTCCTCAGCCGTACTCGTCCGCAGCTCTAGACCACTGAGCCGACAACCATTAGTGTATATGTCTGGTCTTAATCGGCTCGCGATATTGTGCGAAAACCCAACAATCTATACAAACCTCCTATACTAATAATGATCATGTGCTCATTAGCGACTAATTCTAAGAGTCCCAATGAGAAGCTGTGACTAATAGAGTTCACTCACATTGATTAAGAGATAGTTAATCACCGTATATAATGAAAAATGGACGCACAATATCACGAATTGTGTGAAGTTGGACAAGTACACACTAAGATGATGGTCCAGTTGGTTAGAGGATAATGTCTTCACCCCAAAACTGAAAGTCTTGGTTCCGATCATCGAGTGAAGTTCTGAATGAGTACGGCTGAGGAGTCCTGTACTAAGACGAAACGGCTACTCAGTGCTTCATGGTCCCCAATAGTTGTCTCAGATCAATCCTCAGTGTAAACCATAAGAAAATGGAATTATTAAGTAACTGTAACTTAATGCATGTATAATGTAATACGATTTATTTCTGAAATAAACACAGTCAGTCATATAGTATAACAATTTCTAAACACATTATAATTGCGCAAAAACATGTAGACATTGTTTATATATTTTAACTATTTTTAGGACTTCTTTTATTATATTTTTATAATCGAAATTTCATCACATTTCATAATATTTCAAGGAAAAACATTAATTTTGCTCCAATTGTACGAATACGGTGGATGGAGGGCATACATGTATATAGAATAAGTACGAAACTATCACTAGCCTCTCCTAATTCAGTAAACCAGTGGTCCTTTACTCATTAACTTGTTATAAATAAAAATAATATATTTGTAATATCCCAATTAGTATAAAAGTTAGGTTTTTCTACTCATTGGGATATTACTAATATATAACTGCTCAGTTTATTTGGAATTCAAACCTTAGTAATGATACTTACAAACTCATTAACTTGCTGTTTTAAAATGAAACCAGCAACAGAGACAATAAATGCACGCATGTTATCGTTTATATCTTGAGTTCAGTATTATCATTCCATACTCTTTACTCAGCAGTTTTATTTACTCTTTTTGAAATATATTCCTATATGTTTAGTTTTCTATTATCATTGGTACTATTATTATTCCCAATCATTGTCTTTTTTTAGCTTGTTAGTAGTTTTGTTGTGCTAATGTAATGTAACAGCTTACAGCAATCCATATCTGTCCCAGATTGTGTGTTGTTTACGACTGACTGACCTTATTTCTACGGCAAATATGAAGGAAATCCTACCATTTTTTAAAGTCGCGTCAACCGGATTTTCACGATACTCGAGACGAAGAAAACGTCAGAACTACTTGTGTCTTAAATAGAAGTTAGCTTTTCACCCATCTTTGCTATCAGTTAATATGATCTCCAATGATTAAAACTTCCATAATTTCATATTTTAATTCGGTAAAAATATTCGAAATGATGTGACGATTGTCATTTCTCGACCTGATCTTCACAAGAAATTACATGTAACTAAAATATATGTTTCTTTAATGTAAAAATTCATTAAATTTAGACAGTCATAAGTACAGATCATGATGTTACCAAGGAAAAATAAATGAAAAATGCCCTAAGGTTTCATGAGTTATGTGAAGAAATAGAACATTTTCCCTTTTCACCGCCTTCCAGGATAAAGCAGCCGGCCATCAACCCTTAGATTAAACATTGAGACCACACTCCACTCATTTCAGTTCGAACAGCCGAGTAGTATTGTAGTGAAGGAAAGCACAGGGGAGGACAACCGATTATATTTAGCGCTGTGTTAATCGGTATTCAGACATACGTAACACGTGGCCCAACCATCATTCGCTAATATCCTGCGTCTAACTTCACCATTACTTATCCGGTGATCCCAGCAAATGTTGGTAATATTTCCAGAAAAAATGTGTGATCAAATACTGGTGACTTACGAGTATCTTCTACTCTTAATGGCCACACTTCGCAGCCGTAAAGTAGAACAGAACGAACTTCCACGAAGTAAGTCTTCATACGTAAAACATGTAGCTCATAGGGAGGTATCTATGCTTGTACTTAGTAAATAAGTTCCATATAATTTGATAAAGCTAAACCCTATTGAATTCATATATTTAAACCAAACTATTCCATGAATGACCACTTGCCAAACCGTTGATTTTCACTGTCTACATAAAAAATATCGTTTCCGTTGTGACGGCCCAATTGATTTGCGACTGTGTTGGCCAAGCTGTTAATCTTTGTTCACAAGACCAATAATCGTCTAGAATCTCAACTGAATGAACTTTTATAAAAAAGCATGACGTACCTTAAGGGAACAAAACTACCATTGTATACACAAAATAATCGACGTAAATATAGTCTAACTACGAGTTATTTGTAAATTAATTAATGGATAAACAGTCAAGAATAGAAACATGTCGCAGAAAATATATAATGATTATACACTTCAGTTAGTTAAAACAACGTTCTTATAACTAATACACCATTTTCATGCAGTACGATAGAAATTTTAAACAAATCAGAAATCTGTATGATTAGAGGTTGACTATAATTTCCAAAGTAATAATAATAACAGTTAAAACCCTGTCTATTTTAAACTCACGTAAGTTTCTGTATTCTTCTCCACTAGTTTTAGTGGAGCCACATTGGGTGGCCATAGAACAGACATCAATGTCGGTGTTACACCTTTCGCTTGAGTTAATCCATGTTCTAATGATTCACTAGGTTGAGAAAATATCAATGGATTTTTGGATGTCACTGAATGTATTAAGTAGGTAGTTAATCTTTGCCCAGGTGATGCTTGGTCAGAAGCTCGTAAAGACACAGTGGCAGCAATTAACGTTTTAGCAATGATCATTGCTGGATCATCATCAGATGCAGTATCATCAGTCTCTTCGTAATTTAAATTTCTTTGAAAACTTACAGAACAATCCTGAGTTGTGGGGTCATTGAAGACAATTTGTGAATTGGAACATGGTATATTACAAGGTATTATTAAGCCAGGCAATGTGAGATCGCCAATTAGAATAGCTTCCGTAAGTAAACAGATTAGTCGAGTATCACGTAGAAATAAATACACATGAATTAGTGTAAACACTGTCACGGAATAGGATAGACGAGGTCTACGAACCTTTCAAAATAAATCAAAAAATTAGTACCGTTTCATTGTTATTAAAAAGAAACGAAAAATTGGTTAGATCGTAATACTTGTTATATATATAAAGCCTGTCCCGTTATTACTATACTGTTGGAAACATTATAAAACATCATTATCAATGACTAACTTATCATTAATACAGTATCAATATTATGACACTAACTGTTAATTACTGTAAAGATAATGATTCAATTCACTTGAATTTTAATTATTCAATCTTGGCTCTAGATGCCATTCTTTTGATTTAGAGTTTGGACAGCCAGATAACATCATCAACTTGCATCTATAAAATCTGCCTAAAACCCTAGTACATGAAGAAAATGCACGTAGTAAATAATGTGCATAGTTGTTATTAATCTTATAAAATGCGCATAAACACAAATGGTTCTAAAAAACAACCTCATATTCTTTGAAATGCTTAAATACCACACAAATAATCGATCACTAAAATTCTTACTAACAATAAGATGCTACATATTCTCATATGATACCTAAGTAAACTCATGGACAGAGGTTACAAAACCATAAGCTGATTAGAATATTTTCTTCTCAAACAATATTTTGCAAACACTAATGTTTTCTCACAAGCACTGAGTCGTGCTTTTTAATGTGGTCTATCCAAGTAGCATAATGGTAAGATCAATATGAACAGTTTTCTCTCCTTAATCAAGACCTTAGCCATCTGGTGTGCATATGTGTTAGGTTTTACCGACCAACTTTTGTTCCAAAATGGATCCAAACTAAAGAGTTTAATAAACAGAGCATCAAACCGTTAACCTAACCCTGTATAGGCTGTCTACTCGAACACTACTGGTCGAATCAGAATTTATGGTGACCTGTCATTGAAATTGAAAACTTCAAGCGGTGTTCGTCAGCGTTATCTTTTTTCTCTATTTTTATTTAACTTTGTGATAGATATCCTTCTACATATGACATTCATCATCTGACTTGTCAGGAGTCGATCTTCTGCCAGGAAATTCTCTTGTTGGTTTGAAATACTCAGGTGATATACTTCTGTTTGATGAAGACGCTGACAAAGTGTAAGGTATTCTGGCCGCCGTAAGCAACAATGTTGACATTTCTGGGATGAGTTTCTCTCCCTCCAAATGCAAAACGTTTCTTCAAAACTGGTTTATATCAACGCCTGAACTAGTTATAGGGAGTGAATTAGTTGGGTACGTCGATCGGTTCATTTATCTTGGAAGCCTCTTTAGTCCTGATGGGCTGGTGTTTGACGACATCTCAGCAAGAATTCAGAAAGCTCAATCAGTTTTTGCCGACTTTCGTTACTTGCGGCGTTGGAAAGATCTCCGCCTGGAAACCAAAGGATGAGTTTACTGTGCAGCAGTTAGATCCATTCTCGTTCGTGCCTGCGAAAAGTGGTCATTTTCGGTAGAGAATATTCGCAGGTTACTAGTTTTTATCATTGATGTCTTCAAAGCATTGTTCATTTATGTTGGGATCATCAAGTAGGGAATTCTAAGGTTAGATGCAGAGTACTAGGTAGGTAAGGCAAACAGATGGATGAGGTAGTCAATCTTTATCGAATGAGATGGTTAGAATATGTATTGCGTATTCACATTCATCGAATCGTTCGATGAGTGATAATGGCTGTTGTAGGGGAGTAAGTTGAAAGAAAGCTAGTTGTGGCCAAACCAATACACAGCAGAAGTCCATGAAGATACTAACTGTCAGAGTAACCCTAGTAGGCATTCTCAGATTACCGAATCGGATTGCGAGTTATTGTCGCGACCAATGGTTAGAGACTTCGAATAACATGACTCAGAATCGTTCGCAATGGTTTGGATGTATCCACTCTGTTTTCAACTCCACCTGTATCTCTTCTAGAGTTACTGCCGGTCCCAAGCCCGGGTAAAGGAGGAGGTTTGAGCATGGGGTCGACAACCACATCCCGTACAAAACAAGTGTGCTAAAAAACGCCAACCAGATTCAACAAATAAAAACATTTAAACTCTACCCTGAGAGTTGAAGGAAGAATTATGACGCCTCATACAGAAAAACAAAATTCTTAGGAAGTCACAAGACTGATGCCCATTCTAACAGCAAGAGCAACAATTTTTGTAGGGACATGGAACATCCTGAAAATGTGGGAGACCGGGAGGACCAACCAAATAGTTCAGAAAATGAGGAGATACAACTTGGCAGTACTCGGAATCAGCGAAACCCATTGGACCCAAGCTGGACAGAAATGGATAGATTCGGGAAAGATGCTGTTGTACTCTGGTCACGAAGAAGAAAATACTTAGCACACTCAGGAAGTGGCTCCGGTGCTGTCCAAAAAGCACGTGATGCACTTGCAGGATGGAAGTCTCACGGACTCGGAATCATCAAAGCATCTTTAAAAACAAAGAAGGAGGGACTTTCAATGAATGTCAAGCAGTGTCATGCACCCACCAATGATACCAATGACGACAATAAAGATCAGTTTTAAAGGAGGCTGCAATCAATCATAGCGAAGTGCCTAGGTAAAGACCTGACCATCCTGATAGAAGACCTAAACGCCAAAGTCGGAATGGACAACATCAGCTGTGAAGACATCATGGGACAACATGGACTGACTAGAAGAAAGGAACGAGAATGGTGACAGATTTTCGAATTTGTGTGTATTCAACAATATGCATATATGTGGCACAATATCCCCACACAAACGCACACACAAAGCTACATGGGTCTCACCGGAACACACCACGGAGAACCAGATCAATCAGATTTACATCACCGACAAATTCAGATCAATGGAAGATGTGAGAACCAGGGGAGGAGCTGACATAGCTTCAGATCAAAACTAGCTAGTAGTTGCCAAGATGAAACTGAAGCTAAAGAAACAGTGGACAACGGGGAAACAACATTACATAGGTTCAATGTAGCCTTCCTTCGAGATACCGTCAAACTCAACGAATTCAAGACAACTCTCAACAACAAGTTCCGAACCTTACAGGATCTACTGAAAGAAGAAACTACTATGAACCACAACTACAAAGGGATCAAAGAATCACCGACTTCAACAAGTCAAGAGGTTTTTGGCAGCAACAAGCATCATCATCATAAGGAATGGATCTCTATCAAAACCCTAGACAACATTCACGAATGAAACAACAAGAAGGTAGCAATTAATAACAGCCGAACAAGAGCAGAGAAAGTCAGGGCACAGGCTGAATACACAGAAGTAATCAAGAGAGTGAATAAAAGCATTAGAGCTGACAAGTAGAAATATGTGGGAGACATAGCAATGCAAGTGGAAAACTCGGCAAGTGAAGGAAATATGAGACAACCATGTGATGCGACGGGGAAACCAGCGGGGAAATATAGTAAACCAGAGAGACCGGTCAAGAACAAAGAAGGCAAGCCAATCACCGAGATTCAAGAACAGAGTAACAGAAGGGTAGGATAATTCGAGGGACTCTTGAATAGACCAGCTCCACTGAATCCATCGGACATCGAAGCAGCACACACAGACCTCATTATAGATGTCACTCCAACAACGATGGAAGAAATCAGGATGATCATCAGACAATATACCAGCTGAAGCTCTGAAGCCAGACATAGAAGTAACTACATGTATGCTTCATATTCTATTCAGGAAGATTCGGGAGGAGGAACAAGTGCCGACGGACTGGAAAGAAGGACACCTCATCAAGATATCAAAGGAGATTTGAGCAAATGTGAGAATTACAGAAGCATCATACTATAGTCAGCACCAGGAAAAATTTCCAATAGTGTGTTATTGAACCGAATGAAAGATTCAACGGACGCTCAACTTCGAGATCAACAGATTGAATTCCGTAAGAATCGGTCGTGCACAAATCAAACTGCGACACTATGGATCATCGTTGAGCAATCAATTGAATGGTACTCGTCACTATACATCAACTTCCTTGACCATAAGAAGACGTTTAATAGCATGGATAGAAAAACCTTGTGGAGCTTTCTTGTACACTATGGAGTACGTGAAAAATCGTCAACATCATCCAGAATTCATACGGCGGACTACACTGCAATATCATGCATGGACGACAGTTAACATACGCGTTCCGATTGAGGACTAGTGTCAGACAAGACTGCTTACTCTCCCCTTTTCTTTATCTTCTGGTGATTGGCTGGATTATGAAGGCCTCCACATCTGAGGGGAAGCACGAAATACGATGGACAGCTTAGAATCAATTAGAGGATTTGGACCTGGCCCTCCTATCCCATACACACGAACAAATGCAGATCAAGACAACTAGTGTAGCAGCAGCCACTGCAGTAGGCCTCAACAGGCACATATGAAAAAGCAAGATCCTCAAATAAAACACGGTGAACACCAACCCAATCACACTTGATCGAGAAGCTCTAGAAGATGTGGAATATTTCACGTACCTGGGAAGCATAATGGATTAACAAAGAGGGTCGGATGTAGACGTAAAGGCGAGGACTGGCAAAGCAAGGGCCGCATTCCTACAATTGAAGAACATATGGAACTCGAAACAACTGTCAGCCGACATCAAAGTCAGAATCTTCAATACGAACGTCAAGACAGTCCTACTGTACGGAGCTGGAACTTGAAGGACTACCACAACCTTCCCCAAAAGGTAAAGGTATTTCTAAACAATTGTCTACGTAAGATACTCAATATCCGTTGGCCGGATACCATCGACAACAGCCTACTGTGGGAGAAACCAAACCAGCTTCCAGTTGAGGAAGAAATTAAGAACAGATGTTGGAGGTGGACAGGACAAACTTTGCAAAAATCACCAAACTTTATCACGAGGCAAGAGATAACTTGGAATCCTGAAGAGAAACGGAAAATGGAAAGGCCAAAGAACACACTGTGTCGAGGATTGGGGGCAGACATGAAAAGGATGAATAGCAGCTGGAAAGGATTGCCCAAAACAGAGTTAGATGGAGAATGCTGGTAGGAGGCCTGTGCTCCTCCTCATCAATCGATCACACCGGCGTAAGATCGTAGGCTATCTATCCATTACTGTCACTGACAAACTGTCCTTATTAGTTAAAATAGTTTTGTTTACGGATTCAAGTATATCGTTATTTGAACCAATCTTTGAAACACTTTTGTTTGATTAAAAAACTTCAAATAGTACAAGCTAGACATTCGGAATCCCCTGTTTATCAATATATATACGTCAAAAAAACAAGATCTCTTAGACTGGATTCCAACAAGCAGTCGTTTGTAGGCTGTCTGACTAAGTGAAGAAGTAAGAACATGGAAGGATGGGGACAAACGCTGTGGCCTTTTCGTCGTCCCTGTTTGCACTCAAATTGACTGCAAGTCGGATAAAGTGAAGGTTGAGTTTTACAGGAAATATTTTGTTCTTCCATACTAGCCAGGCGATTACTCAGTCTCCCTCATTCACAGACACTTTTTGGTCTGTCTATGCATAAATGTTATTTTTCATTTTATAGTGTGATGCGGTCTGGTCTGTTTGTATATAAACTGCGTTTAGAACATGGGTACAGTGGAGACTGGTTGCTAACTTTTAGACTCAAAGAAAGGGCACAAAGAGAAGCTAGAAAACGGTGGACCAATAGGAACTTAGCTGCTGAATCAAGGTTAATAGTGCTGGTCGGACGTGTAATTGACTGTCAGAGGAGATACCAAGCTACCGAGTAATATTAGATGCGAATTAGAATCAGGATTCTGATAGGCGAATTGTCACATGATTTTGACCAGCAATCACAAGATATAATAAAAGCCTGTCGACCTATTTAACATAAGGCCTGAATGGTGAGAGCTCTAACGTGTAGTTTGGAAGGCAATTTCAAGAGATCAGGAATAAGTTTCGTAGACTCGAATAGTTAGCATTGGTGGCACATAGAGATAAAGTCACGGGAGAAAGGCTAGTGGTGGGGATAGGAATATCAAGAAGTGACGAAGGAATTCGATCGTCAACAAGAGGATCTCTAGTGCTGTAAGGGGTACGAGGGCAGTTGTTACTTCCAGGTTACCCAAACCGGAAAAGGATATTTCTTCTTGACGGACCTGATTTATTTATTTAAGCACATAAAAAATGGTACAAAAAACTTAGCACCACGCAAACCATTTAATTTGTGTGAGGGCTGAGATACTGCCCAGATGCTCAAACCGAAGCAGGTGGTTCTCTTAGTGAGCCACTCCCCGAGCCTTTGACCTAGAGCACTAATCCACAAGGCAATGGAACAACGTAAGGAGATGCAGCCCCAATGTAGCCAATGACCAACAATAGGTTCATATGCCATTTGTTTCCCCAGGGCCCTGGGGCCCATGTGCACTAGTGGTTTAGGATCAGAATTTTCTAACTCCCCTAGGTGGATCTTCCATATCCACCAATCCGGTCAAAGGGCCAGATATTCGCTTTTCGTCCTCTCGATTTTGAAAAAAACATCTCCTTCGCGAGAAGGCAGTGAGTAAAACTTCCCTGGCAGTTGCTGTATACGCGTGGTCATGTAAGAGTGTTTCGAAACGGAGAACTGACTCTTGATCGTACCAGGGTGTTTTGGGGACCTGAAAAGGAAACTAGGTTATGGGTAGTCCTAATGACCTGGAAGAGTGACCGAGGAACCCAAAGGACAACTGCTTGAGGCCAGTTATACACGATCTTTCTGTGGGAAGTTTGTAACATGTTAACTCCGTGCTTCAAAAGATCTTATCACCGGAGACGGAAATCCGTGGCTTAACATGAGATATGATGTTTTTAGTGTCAGTCTTTTCTAACCCCCTCCTTCCGTTGTAAAGCAACTTCGCCATAGGTACTGACTGCCTGAGAGGAACACCTTACTGCCGTCATACCTCGGTACCGTCAGCAATATAACTTTGCTCTCAGACCATTATTTTGTTACTTTTAGTCTTACCGCTCCCAACCGATCTGCTTAACATGGTAGAACCTAAATGAACAATTTCGTCCTAAGTATAGCCCGGTCAGATCATTACGATAAGCAAGCCCGATCACTACGTCAATACAGAAACCATTCAATGGCGCAAAGAATTTGTGCTTACTGTAAGACACGAAGAGCCTAGACTATATAGCCCACGGGCACGTGAGCACTCATTTTCTAGTAGTTTCAAGCTAAACAATCCAACTGTGCAATTTTACTCTCTAATTTTCAATAGTCTGCCAACTAAAGCCACTTGTTCGTAATGTAAATCATCTTTAGAATATAGATGAACTATTTTTTTTGCATTGTTTCATTTAAAATTTACCCAGCTATATGGTTCCTAGTGTTTTACAACTCATTAGAGAAGCTAAAATAGTTGCCTACAGTACAGCCGCAGCATAAAACTTTATAAATCCGTTTTCTCTTCAAAATAAACTTTTGAGTTTGTTGGTTATAGGTGGTTGGCTGAAATGAGACTAGGACTATAAATGTGTTGGGGTTGTAAACCCAAGACACGAAACTTAGTCTATGGTGTAATTAACTGTTAGTTCTTACATAAAGTACACAATAAAAACCTAATTAAGCCTAATTAAATGGTGGACGGATATGTGTTAACTTGAAAAATATATCGTATGTGGAAATTAAAACGCGTAGTTTCTTTTTCCCATCACATATATATTCAGGCTACACATAAAAAACACTTGTCAACTTACTGTCCCTAGATTTGTTGTTGCATCCGACTTGTATTGCTTCAATAAGGAGTAGATATGTAACGGTATAAATAATCTCCTCAGTAACTGGTCACACAGTACTTCATTTAAACCTTCTATACCCAGTGACAACAAGTCATCTATGTAGTGTAAATGATCAATATGCTCTGCAACTAAATCTTTCAACTTAGTTTGACACCTATTAAGTAATTACAAAAAAAATTTCTATTGTTAATGAATTCGTACCAAACATTGAATGAATATTTGAAGGCAAACATATTTACTGTGAAATGAAAACATGATATAACGAAGACACAAACATAAGTAACATGGAAGAACATACCCGGACGAAAATTGGAGAAATGGTAACTCTCTGAACTAATTCATCGATTATTGTAATATTATTGTATTGTTACTGGGTAACTGGGATATGTTTATATTGTGTTTATCTTAAGCTTCCGTTTAACTCACTATCTATTATTGTGTTCTTTATAATTACTATTTTATTGCCAATCGATTATTCTTAGCTTGCCCTATTCGCAACCACTTTTGACTTATTTATGAATAACTGTGACTTTATTTTAAAGGTGGGATGAGGCCCAATATGTCTATATAAAAACCCATGTATGTTTGGAATAATGACAGAAGCTGGCTGTTGATTTCTCCTTGAACTTGAGGCAAGGGATAGAGAAGGCTTGAGTATAGCAGACCAATCGGGACTTACTCTGCGTCGACCCAAGGTTGACGGCGCTGATCAGATGTGTAAGTGGACAAGTTTAGGACACCAGGACGTAGAAAAAATAGTAGACGCATCATAAATAAAAGTCGGAGTTAAAATTCTGAGTAGTAGTTTTAACGCGTGATATCGACCAATGATCTTAAGCCACAACATGAAGAATGTGCACAAACAGATATCCCAAAAGTTTTCAACAACTTCAGTCAACAGGCTGCTATGAGTAGTAATATCAACCTACTGCATATTTGATGAAAAGCAATCAACGTAACTTATTGGCCTAATGAATAATGCTTCCAGCTACAAAAGTGAGGGTTACTGGTTAAATCCCAAACGTAACTTATTTTTTCATAACCTTAAAGATCATTCCAGTTTAAGCGAATTAAAAATTGGACAGTAAATACATAAATCATGCCTTAATCCCTAATACAAACTAAATTATATTAAACAACGAACGGAACGTGATATAACACTGTAGTACAGTTTATTTAGTGTTAAGCATCCACAAGAAATTAAAGTGCCACTAAATTTAAATTCTCAATGTTTTCGTTAATAATTATAAATTTAATAGTTGAATTCATGAGTCAATTAAAGCTAGACCACCATGACAGCCTGGAAACACTGAACGGCCGTTTTGTCCTAGTATGGGACTCAACAGTGCACATCCACGATTACGCTCGCGGGATTTCAACCCAGGACCTACCGGTCAAGCGTGCGAATGATTAACCTCTAGACCACTGAGCCAGCATACAACGGTGTTAATGTCTAACTCCAACCAATCCACGGAATCACACCACCGTCCACCATTGTCTCCAGAGGGTTGTTACTATCTCACAACAGACCCCGTTGAACTCCACAGAACCCCTTTCTGATTATAAGTATAAATTTGCTGAACGTTCCATTTTAATTACTGTAATACAACTCAAAAATCAAGTATAAATTCATGTTCTAAGCACAGTCAATTTCTATTGGTGAAAACTAATGATACTACCAGGCCGTTAGAACTGAATTAGGCGAAATAGGGTTAAGGAATAGGCCATTAAAATCTCTGCGACAGAACTAAAGAGAACCAAAATCAACTAGAAAATTATTAAACATAGTAGATTTCAATCTTTCATACATCCTGACCCCTTGATAGGCTTAAGAAAAAGCGAGGACAATATTTCCAGAATAGAGTGAATTCATTATATTTCAAGGCTCCTCACCAGTTGCAAACGGCCTAAGTTTACAATCGAAATATTATTATAAAATTCTTATTGCATACCATAATCAATGAAATTTAATTTGAAACGCCTTAAACAATAGGAAACAATATATTTAACATAATAATTAAGGTTGATTAGTATTTATACGGAAATATTTCGATTGTGAATTTAGACCATTCGCAGCTGGCGAGAAGCCTCGAAATATAATAAATTCATTTTGTTCTACAAATATTGTTCACGTTTTATTGACGATTTCAATCTAATCATCTACCTGATAAAGTATAGAATTTTCAGAACTACTACTAAATTGTAAATATAACTATTGAAAAATTTAAGTCTATATATAGTTCTGAAAAATCTGAATTGATCTCCAATATCGCAATGATCTAGAAATCATGTAACTTTAAAATATTAACAAACTGATTCATAAGAGCATAAAAATGGGGTTGAAATTAAAATACATCTACATAAAGACGCAACAAAAAACTAAAAAGTACATATACGATAATAATTGATTATTTAACATTTTCACTCAAATAAAACGAATTCATCTGCATACTGGGCGTCCATAACCACAAGTTCCTAATACTCTAACAACCTGAGAAAATCTACACTTTGTTATATAAAACTCATTCCCGATAACTTATATCATAGTCATTGGACTTCCCTCTCTTTTCCTTTCTCGTCACATGTCCTATTAACTCAATATTATACACAACAGAACGACGTACTAGACGTCTTTACAACTGACTGGTCTATTTTAATCAACTTAGCGAATATATGAAAAGAAGGGAAAAAACATGTGGAATAGTAAGTGTTATATGTATTATATACGATGAAAAAATATCACTTACTTATGACAATCAATATCTAATATTGTATTACCTATTGACCACACAAGATGTGAGAAGTAAATTAACGAAGTCTGATGGTGAATAAACTCCAAAGCAGCTTCATCTTTAACTATTAACAACAAAGAACACATTGGTTAAAAAATGAATCAAAACAAAACGATAAACAACTAATTATGATAAATCCTACCTTTATGTACATTTAGAGTGATAGTACGTACAGCAATACGAACCATACCCTCCGGGTGAGCGAACAATTTAATCGCTTCAACATATAAATTAAACTCTCGACGAGACTAAAATATAATAATGATAATGAACAGTTTTTAAATGCGTTTTTAAAACAGCATTACCTCAATGTAGAAAAAGCTGATGGTATTTACGTTGAGACGAAAGGATAATATTTTTAGAAAGGAAATATAATAAGCCATCACCTAAGAGAGAGAAATAGAAAAGGGTTGACAAATAGCTATGTGGATCTACTTCTTCGTCGGTGAAATCAAAACGATGCGTAATGATAGCATTTGTATGATTGTTTGACAGAAGATAATCTGAATAAAAATTCAAATAAGGCAAATGAATACTTACAGATAGCTGTTTGATTTGTTATATTTTCAAATAAGATATTTAAAGTTTGTAGTAACTGAACACATATTCTTCGACTTAAATCTTGTTTCATATACTGCAAAAAGTACTCCAGAATATTCTTTTCAAGAAAAAAGCTAAATAATATTTTTTTAATGAATCAGAAAGTTACTCCATGACTGAACTATCATTTTGATCACCCCAGATTAAAATTTCTGCAATTAATCGAAGAGCTTCAACTAGTATCCCATAGTTTTGTTCACTAACAGCTCGATTCTTTTGTAACACGGAGTGAAGATATCTATGGAAATAGAGGATAAATCAAACTCCGAGTCTTGGTCAACTTCGATCGAATTACTGAGAAGAAACAGTTAACTGGAATTCAAAAAACTAGCAAAAAATATGTAATCAACTAGGGTACGAATTCTATGAGAGACAAACATTTAACTTTACGCAAGAAACATGTGATCAACAAGTGGCTTACAGAAATATGATTTATTCGCAAGTCGGTCAGTCAGTCAGCTACAACGACTGACTGACTTGCAGGGGTTGTCATAACTTAATATAAAGTATATATATAAAGTAGTGGGGTTTTCAACTTGCAAATCAATGGCAAAAAACTGGGTCCTTTAACCACAAAGTTACAGTCAGTCAGTCAGTAACAACGTAGAACTTCGTGTTTAGAGATGTTATTTAAAGAGTATAATCCAGTGAAATAAATTTGGAAAAGGAAAGAGAGACAAGGAGGAATAAAGAGACCAAAATTTGGGAGAACACAGAGAGTGGATGAACCTGCGCCATTGTAAACGATTTTGAGCCATGTCATTCAGGGTCTCTAACCATCGGTTGCTGTCATCTCGCGGTCCCCAACCAGGTAGTCTACACCTACCAACATGACTCAGTTCACTTGTCAGTGACTTCATGGACTTGTGCCATGTTTTGGTTTGGCCGCCCCTAGGTTACTTCCAACCTACTCCTATACCACTGAACATAGCACGTCGAGGCAGTCGGTCGTTGAGCATACGTAACACGTGTCCCAGCCATCTCAACTGATGAAGTTTCACTACATCATCAATTGATTTGCCATCCTTACCTAGTACCCGTTTCCTAACAACTGAGTTACTTACTCAATAGTCCCAGGATATACGAACAATGTTTCGAAGACACCTATGATCGAATACTAGTAACCTACGAATATCCTCTACTCTTACCGGCCATGTTTCACTGCCATAAAGTAGGACGGAACGAACTGCTGCGCAGTAAACACGTCCTTTGGTTGATAGACGGATATCTCGCCTACGCCATAAATGACGCAAGTTGGCAAAAGCTAGTCGAGCCTTCTGTATCCGTGCTGAGATTTCGTCACACACCAAACCACAAGGGCTGATGAGACTTCCAAGATAAGTGAAGCGGTCGACACACTCAACTACTTCACTCCCTATCACTAGTTCGGGTGTCGATGTAACCCAATCCTGAAGCAACATTTTGCATTTCGAGGGAGAGAATCGCATGCCGAACATGCTTGCATTGTTGCTTAGAGTGGTCAGAAGACTCTGCATTTTGTCAGCGTCTTCACCAAATAAAACTGTCATCAGCATATTCTAAGTCAACAAGTGAACCTCCTGGTAGAAGTTCAACCCCTGTAAATTTAGGTGAGGAGAGTGTTATCTCTAAAAGTATGTCAATGACAAAGTTGAACAAGAATGGGGAGAGTGGACAGCCCTGACGAACACCACTTGAGGTGATCAATTCTGATGACAGTTCGCCATAAGCTCTCACTCTACCAGTTGTGTTCGAGTAGAGAGCCTGTATAAGGTTAATGTACTTCTTTGGTACTCCTTTCAGTGACAAACACTGCCATAGAACCTCACGATCAACAGAGTCGAATGCCGCCTTAAGGTCGAGAAATACTACGATTGTGGGGCGTCTGAATGTGTGTCTGTGTTCTAGAACCTGACGTAGTGTGAATATCTGATCTATACAACCACGTCCAGGTCGAAAACCAGCCTGGTTTTCTCTAGTCTGCTCTTCACGAGCTTTAGTTAGGCGTCGAAGTATTATTGAGGCTAATATTTTAGACACTATACTAGTCCTACTGATTCCTCTGTGATTGTCACAAGAGGACTTTTGTCCTTTCTTAAAAACTGGCACAATCAGTGATTGAGACCAGTCAGATGGGATTACGTCCAGTTCCCAAATTCTACCTAAGACCTCGGTTAATCTCATTGCTAATACTGGACCACCATCCTTAAAAATCTCAGGAGTAAACCTGTCAGGGCCTGCTGCTCTCCCTCGCTTCAGATTTCCTATGGCTTTTTCAACTTCGTAAAGAGTCGGAGGACGTACACTAACTTGCCATTCAGGTTGACTGGAGATCGTGGGAAACCGAAGTGTGGCTGAAGGCCAGTTGAACTGATCCCTAAAGTGTTTTGCCCAATCTCCTGGATTGAGAATGTATAATATGTCCATCTTTTGCTACTCACCACCACAAAGTTACTTCTTGAGTGGAGCTCACGTACTATATATGGCTTCATCTACTAAGTATCATGTTATAATTTTTTTTGTAACAGCTATTGATATCATTCGGTTTCCCAACACGAAGTAGATAGGGATGGGATCAATCAAGTGAGATATCAGTTGGACATATAGTGCGTAAAAATGTAGGATCTTTCTTGATCAACCTTGCGTCAAAACTCTTAATAAAACCATGAAACATATGACACATAGAACAAATGAACCCAAAAACCAGGTATCCTACATTATCATGTCCTAATGGATAGCAATGAATCAGCCTGGAAAGGACCCAGTTCCTTAAACGCCACTTTACACAACTGAACTGAACAAGTACATCGAGAACTCTGATATTTAAGTACCTCAGAGATGAAAGTTCCCGTATAACATATTTAACTCCTGGCTTGTTACTGGGAAATGGGTAAACCCGGTTTTCGAGCAGTTCGGGAGACTTCAGTGAAGTACGTCCATCAACCCCAAGGTAGTTCAGAAACGTGCTTGGTACACCTACCTGGAACCTGTTCTGAAACGCGGTGAACTCGCAAGAACCAAATTAACACAAATGGACCATCCTTCATCTAATTTCCAAAAACGGGAAGAAATCTAGCCCAAACTGTTCCAAACTCGTATATCAGCCCCAAGCATGAATATAATAGGATGTTCAACAGGCGATCGAATGAGAAAACTCACTGATTAAGAATATCACTTTTAATGAAGTCCCATGTTAACATAGAAAACATAGTTGACACGTAGTATTTTAGAGCAGAACAGTGGGATTTTTCACTGTAACTGGAAAGTTTAGATTTCCGCTTTCCTCCTGACTTCGAAGATAAATTCAATACAATTCCATGTTATTTATTTATAACAGAACAAACTTGGTGCAATCAGACACCAAGATATGAGTTGCTTAAAGCGAAATAAAGATATTGAGGGTGAAAACAACCCAAAAACCATGTAATACAAAGGAAACGAGTTTAGCTGCAGAACAACAATTCAGAGATTAGCGGGACCAAGATACATCTCATCCAGTAGCAATATACCTTACTGTCCATAAGCAACACAACAAAATATTACAGTAACACAGATACAGACTCCTTTTCCTTGTCACCTACGATGGTGTCTTTCACCATTGTGTTGAGAAATATCCATGACCCCATTCAGGAGATGAAGATAAACTCCCGATCGAAGCTGCTACCTTGACGCGGTGGTCGGGCTTGCCTATCGTGATGACCCAACCGAGCTATATTGGCTGGAACATATGTTCCTACAGGTTCTACCATGCCAGGTAGGTCGATTGGCGAACGGTAAGACTAAAAGCAGCAACTCAAGGTCTGAGGGCAGTCAGTCAGTCAGTCAGCTACAACGTAGGACCAGGCACATATGTGCATCGGTCCAGGTTGCCATACCTCATTAGCACAACAAGATGAACACCGGATTCATAGGAGTGGTTAGGTCAAAGGTTGCAATAAGGATATAGTATAGGAAGGAAGAATTAGTTCGTATGAAGTGATTTTAATCTCTTAGTTTAAGGGAAGACAAAGAGCGTATACACCGACGCCATTGTGATCGATTCTGAGCCATGTCACCAAGAGTCTCCAACCATTGGTTACGATAGTCACGCGGACCCCAACCAAGTAGTCTGCATCTACCAACATGGCTAAGACTAGAAGTTAGTGACTTCGAGCACTGATGCCACGTTTTGGTTTGGCCGCCCCTAACTTTCTTCCAACCATCCCCTACACCGGTTAGCATTGCACGTCGTGGTAATCGGTGTTTGGGCATACGTAATACGTGGCCCAACCATCTCAGTCGATGAAGATTCATAACCTCATCAACTGATTTACCATCATTCCCTAATACCCTGCGTCTAACCTCACTATTACTTACCCGGTGATCCCAGCAGATGCCAGCAATATTTCTAAGACATCTGTGGTCAAATACTTGTAGCTTACGGGTGTCTTCTACTCTTAAAGGCCATGTTTCGCTGCCGTAAAGTAAGACAGAACGGACTGCCGCGCAGTATACTCGTCCTTTTATTGATAGACGGATATCTCGCCTCCGCCAAAGGTGACGTAAGTTGGCAAAAGCCAAACGAGCTTTTCGAATCCGTGCTGAGATTTCGTCAGACACCAACCCATTAGGGCTGATCAGACTTCCAAGATAAGTGAAGTTGTCGACGCGTTCGACTACTTCACTCCCTATCCTTAGTTCAGGTGTTGACGCACACCAGTCCTGAAGCAACAACTTGCATTTAGAGGGAGAGAAGCGCATCCCAAACATTCTGGCATTGTTGCTCAGTGCTACCAGAAGACTCTGCATTTTGTCAGCCTCTTCACCAAACAGGACTATATCATCTGCGTATTCTAAGTCGATAAGTGGACCTCCTGGAAGGAGATCAATACCCGAGAATTCAGTCGACGAGAGTGTTATTTCCATCAATAGGTCTATGATGAAGTTAAACAAAAATGGAGAAAGTGGACAGCCTTGACGGACACCACTTGAAGTTGCAAAAGTAGATGACAGTTCGCCATAAGCCCTGACTCGACTAGTAGTGTTTGAGTAAAGAGCCTTCACAAGGTTTATGTACTTCTGAGGTACGCCTTTCAATGACAGACATTGCCACAGAGTCTCGCGGTCTACAGAGTCAAACGCTGCTTTTAAGTCAAGAAAGACCACCATCGTCGGACGCCGATAGGTATGCCTGTGTTCTAGAACCTGACGAATGGTGAATATGTGGTCGATGCAGCCACGACCAGGTCTGAAGCCAGCTTGGTTCTCTCGAGTTTGTAG